CGACGTCTTCATTGCTGATTAATATTTTCCCGCTGTGAAGTGTGTTTAAATACTTACATTGAGATTCGCTGTTTATTATTTTCTGGGTATTTTCTCCCCACTTTTTTCCCTGAGTTTTTATCTCTGTGGCCACTGCTTTTGTAATGTAGTTGTTCGCTCTCTTCTTGTTAAAGCTTTCTCTCCCTCTGCTCCGCGCCACGGCGGTGGCCGTCAGACAGCACGGGACACCGGGCGTCCGCTCGGGGGCCCAGCAGCTGAGCGGGGCCCGCGCCCTGAGCCCGTTTCTTAGGAGGACGGACAGCAAGGCGAGAGGGTGCCGCGGGGCTGTGCCTCGCCGTCGCCGCATGAAGGCTGACATTTATGCACCTCGCTGTGGGGCTTAGTCGACTACTTGCTACGTTTGCAAGAACGGAGGCAGAACTAGGTTTAATATCTGTCTTGAATTGTGAATTATTTGACTACTGCCTGCTCCTCTGTTTATTCTTGGGAACAAACATGAGCATCGTGGGAAGGGACAGACCGCGCCGGGCTGCGGGGCGAGGCCGGGTGGGGAAGTCCACTCTGGGCGTGTGATTCCCCCGCCCCCAGGAGGGGCCGCCTGGCGTTGCGGAGGAGGAGCGTGCCGGGCTGGCCCTGGGCTTCGCTGGGGTGTCCCAGGATGGGGGGCGACTGTGCTCGTCAAAATTTCTTCTCCAGGTTGACATGCTGGGAGCTCGTGCTGTGCCTCTGACCCCGGGAAGCGCCGGAACCACGGACAGACAGGCCACTTCAGCCCTGCCTGACAAGTGACAAGACTCCCTGTACCTGAAGCGCGTCTGCCGACCGCCGAGCGGTCGCTCGTGTGCTCGCCGGGCAGGTGTCCCGCTGTTTGTTTGCCTTTCACGCCACCGCAGACCCCGCGGCGCCCCGAGACTGAGGACGGGCCCAGGCCCGCCTCCCTGCGCCTCCCGGGCAGGCTCGCAGGCCCGGCGCACGCCCTGACTCGAGGGGGCCCCTCCCCACCGCCACCCCAGACGCACGGGGGCCACGGCACGGGCTCTGCGAGGAAATCGGCCGCGTGCCTGGGTCTGGAGAGGGCGCGCTTTGTCAGAGAGAGGTCCCTGGTGAGGGCGGTCACTGCACCACCGAGATGGGGACGCAGCCACCCTCTGCCACCACGGTCCGCGGGGAGCACATCGGGCGTGCCTTCTGCCCCGGCAGAGGGCTGAAGCGCCCTCCCGCCCCCGGCTGCCTGCGAACACTCGGACCGGCCGTCGCGTGCTGTCCTTCCAGGTCTCCCAACCGGAACCCATCGACGGCCCACGGCCGGGCGCCGGCCCCCTGAGAGTTCAGGTTGGCCGGAGGAGACTCAGGCCTGGCTCCAGCCGCCTCGGCAGACCCGCCCACCTCCCGAGGCGGTGCACGGCCCGAGCTGGGTGTGCGTAGCGCCGCCCGGGACGTCAGGGGCCTGCTGCTCGGGCCCCGCGTCCCACGCAGAGGTGGCAACGCCGGCCCAGAGGGGACCGACCTGCCCGGCAGCTGGGTAACAATGAAACCCGCAGCAGGCAAAGCAGCAGAGGCCGGTGAGAGTGTCAGGGCCTGGCCGCGGGGCCCACCTCACACTCCAGACGCGGCTCCAGGGCGGCGTGCGGCCGGCGCGCGGCCGGCGCTCAGGGCTGGGCTCACACACCTGTCACATGGCCCCACGGCCCAGGGGCCTCGTCCCGCCGGGCACCGACAGGACCCCGCTGCAGGCCCCCCCGATGAGGCGGCGTGCGTGTGTCCTTGGGTGGAGAGTGGGGCTGGAGAGAAAGTGCTGGAAACAGTTCACGGGGACAGGATCCAGGGTCAGGAGAGAGGGGGGAGAGGCCGCAGGAGTCGCTGCGGGCGTCCGGACCGGGGCTCCCAGGGGCGTCTGAGGGGCTCTGTGCCGTGCGCCGCAGGAGGGCGCGCCCCAGGGAGCTGGCCGAGGCGTTTCTCGGCTGTACCCAAGGGGGGCGCTGACGGTGCACAGTCCCCTTGGCCCGTGACCGCAGGGCGTGAAGCAGGAACAGGCAGGAGGCAGCCGCCCACCCGCAGCTGAAGTCAGAGACGAGGGAGGGGCATTGCGCCCAGAGTGTCCGATGCCGGCACACGGCACCCGGGCTGCGCCGGTGCCTCTGTGTGTTCACATCCAACTGAGGACGCGCTGGCGGCGTGGGCGCGGGGTGCACGGCGCAGCCGGACACTGCAGGCCTGTCCCCGCACGGGGGGCTGTCCTCGCTGAGGGGCACCTGGGCTGCCTCTCAATCTTGGCGACTGTAAACAACGCTGTGATTAACTCAGGGATGCACATATTCTTTCAAATTAGTGTTTTTGATTTCTTTGGATAAGCTCGAGTGGAACTGCTGGGTCATAAGGCCGTTCTTTTTTTAGCTCTGTGAGGGAAACAGAACCTTCATCCTGTTTTCCGCAGGAGCTGCACCGACGGGTGAGGCGCGGCATGGGGGCTCCCGCCGGTGACGTCACCACGCCCCGGGGGCGCGGGCGGGCGCGCCACGGACTCGGGGGATCCTTTCGTAAGGTGCATACAGGCCTAATCACTACGCTGAACACCTGGAAGTACTATCCCATTGAGTGCCCTCTGTGATTAAAAATAAAAATATAATTACAAGAGAGAAAAGGGCACCCCGCTTATTTGTTAGCTTCCTTGTAATTTGTGATCCCTGGTTCAAACGGATCAAGAGGAATAAAGTAGTTTTAAAACTGGTGTCAGTGACGAGCTCGGCACCTGGCCAGCGAGAAGGACCTGGCGTCGCACGGGGAACGACCGGCCGACACCCCGGCCTCGCCTGCGGGCCCTTCAGGGCGCGTGTCTCGCAGGAGTGGCCGGGTTACCCAGTCGCATGGCCGATCTCACGGGAAGGCTCATTTGAAATTCACTAATGACAATAAACGCAATAGACACACGTATTTTCCTTGCAGAAAACTCACAAGAAATGCATGACAAAGGAAATATAGAAAAGGAAAACACTGAACAGCAAGAAATCTGTTCAAAATTCCGAGTGCTGAGTGCTATGTAAATTAATGAAATCAAGACGAATTGCAAGAAAACAACAACATTAATTAAAGCCTGACTTTGCCCACACTGAAGGAGGCATCTGGTGAGAGAATATTAATGCCACTCAAAGCAGCTCCCACAAAAAGTTACAGAAACAAGCAACAGACCGATTCCCTGACTCAATGCTAAGGGGTCGCAAGAGACGCAGGCGCATGTCTTGGGGGCGAATCTCGAGTTTTTCCGCGCACGGCTCAGGCGGTTAATGGCTCCCTTGATCTTCAGCCCGTCACTGTCTGCATGGTTATTTACTCCACGGCGGGTTGGAGAGCACCCGGCTGCAGCCCAGTGCTGAGGAATCGAGCCACCGCGCGGAGCTCTTGGGAGCATCATCCCGGCTTCATGCGAGGGGACAGCGCGGCGTCTCAGTGGAGGCCTCGTGTTGGGAGGGTCACGGGCGCAGGCAGCCCAGGGGAGCAGCTGCAGAGCGAGCCTGGGCTCCAATGCCGGTGCCACAAGTCTCCGCCTCTGGCCGGAGGACGAGAGAATGAACGTCTCCAAAGGGGGCGCGTGCCCAAGTGCCCACGGCCAGGACGTCATCTGGGGCAGGGAGTTCAGGACCAGAAGGCAGGGTGTTACAAGGTCCATCGGGACATGGGGGTTTGCATCTCAAAACACAGGGAGAATGAAGACCAAAGGATGGATTTGCAAGTGTGCACCACACAAGTCAGCAAGAAGTCAAGCCGAAGCCCCCAGGCACGGCGGTCGAAACTCTGGACTCTGGACTCTGTCTGCCTGAGTCTGAACCTGGTTACCTCTCCCACTGACGGGCCCGGGACCATGGCTCGGTCTCCACGCCTCTTCGTGTTTCAGCAACAAGGTTACCAACAGCCCTCCCAAGAGTGAAAATGAACGGTCGACACTTGCCCGTGCTCAGGAGCGCGTGCAGCGGGCTGAAGCCCACCGCGAGCGGGGTGCCGTGCCCAGCGCAGGGCGAGGGGGCCCTGCACACCAGGGCTGCCCTGGCCTCCCTGATGGCCCAGTCGGGGTGACCATTTCGCTCTGTTGCGATGCAGGCCGCGCAGCCCTGGAACTCAGGGGCCTGGGACCGTGCTATCAGGACAGTGACCGCCTGTCCTGCTCAGGGGCGTGGTCCCAGTTCCCACCACAGAGCGGGCTGCTTGCAAGTGACGCTGCTTTAGAGAAAGCATGTTTTATGCCGTAAAGATGCAAATATATTCCAATCCCTCCTGGACTCGACCTTCTGAATCACAAGCAGGTCAACCAGACACATTCCCAAAGCCTCTGGAGAGAAGCCCCCTGTCCCCACCTGGAAGGCAGCCCCCAGCCATGCTGGAGTTAGGCTGTGTCAGCACGAGAATGATGGACAGACGCTCGCTGGCCGCCTCCCACCTTCCAGGGAGCCGAGAGAGCGATGCGTAGCATGTGCGGGCACGTTACGCCCTGCCTATCAGCTGACTGCAGGTGTTCGGTAAAACCCCCTGCCCTTCTGCTCTCTGGCTCCTGCTAGTCAGCCGGTGTCTCAAAATGAAAAAGACAGTCAGTCCCCCCAGGACGGGATGATCTGAACAACGATACTCAAAGAGCCCCAGACCGACTTCCGCCCACCCCCCGCCCCACCCACGCAGACCGTCCCTTCCACGGCAGCGCCTGCTTTACTGCCCGAATCTCAGCCACCGAGCGCCGGGATGGGCAAAAGTAACCACGTTCAAACTAACCCCGGCTCAGGCGACTCTAAAAGGGCGAGAGAGACAGGGGCCATGTGAGCACTGAGCTCTCGAGGCTGCGCCAGGAAAAGAGCCCCCGCAAGGCCACCTGGGAGGCGCGGAGCAGTGTCCACCCGCTCTCCCGGCCCGTGGCGCGCAGGCTTCCTCCGGGCCCTCAGCGGCGGGGCGGGCCGCTGGCCATTAGTGTGAAACACAGCGGCGCTTTTAAATCAGAAAGTTTTAAAATGACACCCTACCTGCAAGGCACAACATGAATGACTGCAGGGCCAGCAGTTCCCATGGCAACCGCATCTTCAGTTCCCGAGGTCAAAGGCGTTGCACGTCCAACAACAAGTGAATGGAACGGCTGCTGCTTTTAAGTTTTGTTCGACCTTTAATCTGTGGGAAAGAGGAGACAGCGCAGTGACGTTAGGGAACACTTCTCCTTGTGGTTTCTGCCAGTTCATGTTTACTTGCCGATAGATACAATTCACTCGTGGAAAAGAGCTACCAAAGAGGCGAGAAGCGTGGGACATTATCAACGCGACGCTCGTCTCAGTCCCTCTCTTTTCTGCCAAATAACATGCAGGTGGGGACGGGACAGGGCGTGTCCCCGTGCGGACAGGAGCAGCTTCTGACGGGACAGGAGCCCGCCCGAAGGCGGGGCAAGCGGCCGCTTTCTACAGCGTCCTTCCCGGCTCTTAGGCCCCAGTCCCTGCTCCTGTTTATTTGCTACTTGACCCACCCCGAAGAGTGAGCACAGAGAAGCTGCCAGGGAGCGGGCCGGCGCCAGCCTCGGGGGCCCGTACGGAGTCACGTGTGGGGGGCTTACAATCACCCCGTAGCTCAAGTACTTCTTCTGTTCCACATTCCACCTCTAAAACACCACAGAAATGAGCGACCCCAGCGCCTACCGAGGGAAGTCCTACCCCCTGGGAGTGGCTGCCCACTAGGCTTTCCGGACAAATCCAGAGCTCAGTGAAGAAACATGATTCTCCCATGAGCCAGGATTCTTAAAACTCGTTGGTCGGGGCGGGTGCCGGCTCCCTGCGCCGCACGCCACAGGGCAGGTCGGCGCCTGAGTGGGGCAGGTGGGTGGCGGGCACCCGCAGAGGGACCCCCCCGCCCCGCCTGCGGGGTCTGAGGGCGGATGCCGAGGCTGGCGGCGGGCTGGGGCGGTGCCGACCGAGGGCTGCGGGAGCCGCTACGACTTTCCAAAGAAAAGCGGAGCCTCTTTTTGTATTTAAAAACCTCCCACGTTTTAAATGTTGGCAATGAGTTCAAAATATTTTGTTTGTTTCCAGTAGTTCCTTTTTACTGCACGTTCTCCCACTGTCCCCCTCGCCCCCGTTCCGCCTCTACCCACTCCCTCCCCACCCCGCAGCCGCACCCCGCTGTCTGCCCGAGTTCCTTCTCCTGTTCCTATTTCTTAAACACTGTGACACCAACAAAGCCACCATGTCCTCAGGTGCCACAGGCGGGCCGCACGACCTTAGCAAAACCGAAGTCACCGCAGCTGCTGCTCCCCTCCGCCCACCCCTCCCCCGCCCACCAGCGGGCACCTGTGGGCGCCTTCCGCCTGCTGGACCCTCGGGGAGGCGCTGCACCCGCCACAGGAGAAGCCAGCTCCGCCCTCGAGGACCCCCTCCTCCGGTGGGCGGGTCCCCTCCGGCTCATGAAACTGACGCACAATATGCCATTCGGAGGGACCTCATGGCCCCGGACACTTCATCAAGGAGGGGGCCTCCCACTGGCTGGGGCGACCAGCAGGGAGCCTCTGACTCATCAGTTAACCAAGCCAGCGAGGAACCCAGGAACCCCGAGACGCGCGCTCTCTTTCCAGCCTCGGCTGAAACCTGTTGCTTGGTCCTGGCTGGGCTTCCGCCTCCTCCCCCTCTCCCGGGGGAGTCCCGGGGGACGCCAGGGGGGCCTCTGGGCTCAGCAACTAGAATGTCCCTGAACTGCTCACACCGTCCTGTGCTGGATGCTGCTACTGAGTCCGGAGCCCGCGCGCGTTAGTGCAGACAGCGACCCGGGTGCTCACATCCGTCAGCCGCCCCCCACCCCGTGGGGCCGCACCATGAGCCAACGCCGCCGGCTTGGCTCGGGAAACCACGGGCCGGCTCGCGCCCCACTGCCTTCAGGTAGAAGACAGCAGGGCCCTACTGTCAGGTCTGCAGAGGCAGCCGGGTGTGGCCGCATCTCTCGCTGAATGTGTTTGGCTCCCCTTCCGACGTGTGTGGTGACTAGGCCCTTCCAGGGAAACAGGATATGCAGATCCATGAAATCTACTAATGCCACAAGCAAATGATCGCGGTATTAAGAATTCATTTTTCAAGGAAAATGTCATCCCCGACCTGGCGATTGACCCACCACGTTAAGCAGCGTCTTGAAGCCATTCAAATGGGATGAGGAAGGGATCCAGTTACCCAACAAAGATTTAACCCGCGCCAGGAAGCTCTGTGTAGCGTGCGTCTGTTCTGTTAGGAGCAGCAGACTTCGAAGGATGAAGGGATTCGGACGCCCTACTGGCCTTGGTTACATTCAGCTGTTGGGGGCGGGGGTTGGTTCACCTTCACTCCTCAGAAACCACGGGGCGCCGGCAGTGATTGGGGGAAGCGGGTAGGGTAAGCCGAGCGCCGGCTTTTCTGAAGGGAGCTGGAGATTCATGGATCTCGTGTGGGATGTGGTGCAGGATGAGAAGTTGCATAATTTCGGGTTTCCTGCCAGAGCCAGAGGGCAGGCCGCGGATGAGCTCAGAGTTACGGCGGAAACGGGCCTCCCTGCGGCTGGCAGCCCCGCCTTCCTCCGAGGGCGGACGGGGCACAGGGGAGCGCGCGGTGCACTAACTCAGCCCTTGCCCAGGGATCAGACCCGTAAATCCCGGGAGGTGACGGCCCTGCAGCGCGGCCGGACTTGGCCGCTTTGTCTGGCTGCGCCGGAAGGAGATGGATGACGGAGAATTCCGCAGTCTATCTTCACACAGTGCCTCTCGGGGCACAATGCCTGCAGCCTCCAGCCCTTCAGACACCGCGGATCCCAGCCGTCGGCCCCCAGACCCCGGTGCGGAGGCTGGAGACTGGCGCACCACTCGGCCCCCCGAAGTGTCTAGGTCCCCCCCAGTCCGCAGCAGGGCTCGATCGTGTCCCGGCGGGCTTCAGCGCTCTGCCCGCTGTGAATTCTGCCGGCCACCAGACACCCCCTCGGCTCTCCCATCAGGCCCCTGCGCTTCCTGTGCGGGCGGAGCGGAGCGCGGGGGCAGGGCGTGCAGGGCCTCGCGGGCACAAGGCCGCCCTCGGGGAGTTGCTGCCGGAAGGGCCGGCAGGAGGGGCAGCCGTGCCCGTCCTCCCACCCAGAGCAGGGCACGCAGTGCGTTTACTCTGCACAGGGTACCGAGCGCACGCAGGACGGCACCCGCTGAGCTGGGGCAGGGGGCGGGCCCTCAAAAGGCCGGGTGGGTTGAATGGAGCCTCGAAGGGTCCGGGGAGAGGATGACAAACAGGCCTGAGGCTGAGAGCTTAGAGCGTTCAAGTCCCTGCCGTGCAGGTCATGGAAGAGCCAAGTCGGCCGAGCCAGGCTCGGGCTTGGACCCTGGGCCCTGCTGTCCGGGTGTGCGGCTCCCTTGGAAACGTCGGCACTGACCCAGCCTCCCAGACTCCTCCGAGGGTCGGTGGGGACGCAAAGAGGGCATGAGTGCTAATCCTCGCTAAGGACGGCCCAGCACAACCTCCCTCAGGGGGCGGAGCCCCGAACGGCCTGGAGCGCAGACAAGGGTTTGGACTGGACTCTGAGGCCCAGGAGGGCGGCAGGGAGGATTGCAGGTGGGAAGGACCGGAACGCGTCTGACTTCCCCGCGAGGGGTCTGCTTTGCATTCACCCCCAGAAGCGCGGGGTCCTCTGCCCCCTTTGCTTTCCCCTCTGGTCCCCATGTTAACAACATCTGTCATTACTAAGTACGAGGTCTGTCCAGAGGGTATCCAGCCGCGGGCTATGAAAAACAGAGACATTTACGGAAGAAGGTGGAAGATACAAGAATCACTGTCTATAGGACAGTGACACCTCCGTCCCCTTCAAAGGAGGCACCTTGGGACCTCACACGGTTCTCCCAGTCGCCGTCAGCTGCCCCGTTGTATTTTCCTGAATCTCATCAATGGTCTGAAATCTCTTCCCTTTCAGCGGTGATTTTAGTTTTGGGAAAAGCCAGACGTCTCAGGATGCCACATCTGGGCTGTAGCGGGGCTGAGTCACCTGGGCAATTTGATGTTTTTGCCCAAAGACTCTGCAGGAGATGTGACGCATGAGCAGGCACGTTGTTGTGATGAAGCTGCCCGTCACCAGCTGCCCACAGCTGCAGCCTCTGAGTCACGGGCACAGTGTCCGCGGAGGAACGTTCACCCTAACGCAAAATGTGACGCAGATTCATTGCTCTACTCACTCAGTCATTTCGAACGCGACGGCCACACAGTGCACAGGCTCACTCAAGGGCGTCTGCCGTCCCCACCGACTGGTACAGGGAAGCTGTCATTGTTCACACGTGAACACACCAGTCTGCCCCCCTTCCCTGCCCAGTTGCATCCGTGTCACACAAACCGTTCCTGCTCTGTTGATGTTGGCTGGCCTTTTCCCCACAGACCCCATCGTGCACTTGTCAGAGAAGCACACGTTTGCAGGGCTCGCAGCAGCAAGACAGAGTGAAGGACACCGGACCTGAGTCAGACACAGCGCGCTCTCTCTCTTCCCCGTCTGGCCGCACGTTCTTGGACGTGGGGAAGGCTGCTGGCTTTTTGTAAATGTACTTACTCTTCTGCATATTGGGGATCATGCGCTCTCTTCCTCACAGGTGTGCAATGAAGGTCAACTGACATGTGTTCTGAGAGCAAATATTAATCATCATCGTTAGGACTCATATTCATGCGCTCCCCACACAGATTTTAGACTTCATGAACGCAGGGAGCCTTTGCTTCGGTCAGTGATATTTAAGAAACCCGAGTGGTTGTGCTTGGCCCAGACTGGGCGGTCGATACCTAGGAAGTCTATAAACAAAAGGATGCATTTAACCGACATCCTTGGTGGACCTACCACGCGCTGTTTTCGCAGTGTTTCTTATCCAACCGCCACAGTGCCCCGCAGTCAGGCATCACGGCCCTCTGCAGAGTCACAGCCTGGGGCATCCGCCTGCGAGAGGCCGTGGGGCCTGGCCACGGTCAGCCTCCAGGAGCCAGCAGAGCCGCGTCCCACTCCTGGCCTCGGACTTCCGGCTCCGTGCTCCCCGCCCCCGGCCCAGAGTTACCTGCCGCCCTGGGAGCAGGGTGGGAGGGGCGC